GGGGATTCTGGGAATTGAAGACCACCCGTCTTAAAGCGGCCAAGGTTGAGGAACCCTGTTATAAGCAATGATTTATAAAAACAACACACTAAGCCAACACCAGAAGAAACTACTCCAAGCATTTGCTCTGACAAAGGCCAAACAAAAAACCTTTCCAAAAATTCGGTGGTCCCTTTTTCAGCTGCAAAAACACTGGTTCTTCTTTCACTAGCCGTAAGAATATTATTAAATTAATGGCAGTTAAGAAAACCCACAAAAATACATTGCTGAAGATCAAGTGTGCCAGTACCCTGGCCTCTTAAAAAAAAAAAATTTTTTTTTTACCTACTTTGGTCTATACAACAGTGTCCTAAACACGAGGCAGTAGCGATAATGGGATGATCTTCAAATCCCATTAAAATGAAGAGGGGAGTATCTGCCTGCTGCCCCAGCTAGCTATCCCCAAATCTGGAGGCCCCCCTCCCCCATTTACACTATGCAATATTAGCATTTGAAAGATGGAAAGGTTTGGCTCAGTTCCATTTTTAACCAGAGCTAAGCCACCTTGTGCTGGTAACGTTTTGAGCATGCTAGCTTGGAATCATGGATGCTGAAGTCGAATGCATCGTGGGGGCGTCTGGTGGAGAAGGCTGGACTGGAAAGATGTGAATCTTTAAGCCACGTGGGCTTCAACTCCCAGAACTAGCCCTTTGTTTTTTCCCTTATTGGGAAAAACACCTTCCCCCCCATTCATTTCATTTTTTTCAGTCTGAGCTGGAAGTTAACATCAAAATCAGGCAGGCTCACGGACAATCGTTTTTGTAATAGTTTAATTTACATGTGCACATTAAAAAAAACAAAAACCAACCACTTCCCCTTCAAATTCTTCTGACGGGCAGGTCTGGAGCCCTCCCCAACCCAGATTTCTGCCCCCGGCTTAAAGTTATGGCACACGTTGTTTCTCGACCAGCAGCAACAGGTGGATGGAAAAGTCTTTTATCCGGAGAAGATTTCCATCTGTAGTGGGAGAAATTGTGTCCGAGGTTTGATCGGTCTGAAAGGAGTAGAGTCTTATCTGCAGTTCTGGCCGAGGGAAAAGGGTGGGAGAGGGAAGAAATGCCGCTTTGCAGAAGTGCAAGGATGTGGGAGAGTGTTGTTGTTGTCGTGGGTTTGGCTGTTTACCATCTCAGCTTTTGCATCCTGCCCCTGCAGGAAATGAGAGCAGGAAGAGGAGGAGAAGCCGTATCCAGTGGAAGGAGGAGAGACCTGTCCTGTGCGATCCTTTCACTGCTGCTTGGATTTCCGAGATAGCCTCTGGACCAGCTTGTAAAGGAGGCTGAAGTGCTAAAAAGGCAGCGAGAGAGACAGAGTGAGCGAGCACAGCCCCGGGTCTCAAATGTGGCAACTTTAAGCCACGTGGGCTTCAACTCCCAGAATTCCCCAGAGCTGCGTGGAGCAAAATCAGGAGTTGCTGTAGCCCTTCAAAGCATCCCAAGTTATCATAAAGGAAGTTTATGCCACAAGAAAACAGGTCAGTCTGGAACCAGCGTATAGATTTCTTTAATGTAGGTTGTCATTCCTCTTCACGCATGTTATTGATTGATGAAGCTATTGGATCAAGGGGTTTTAGGAAGAAAAAGGTACAAACACAGAACGTGAACTCTGGCAGGAAAGGGCCAGAGTAAGAATGTCTAGTCCCCTTTCAATACCAGTAAGCAGTAGGCATGAATTTAATTCACTGAATTAGCCTGGCATCCTCCAAGTGAGTTGGACTGCTATTCCCAGAATTCCCCAGCCAACATGGCCACTGGCTGGGGGTGCTCAGAGGATTCTGGGAGTTACGTCCCGACAGATTTCGGGGGCATCCGTCTGGGAAGGCAGCTTTTCAGGACATCAACAGAATATAAAAACATTCACTACTAGACTCCTTTGCTAAGATCTACGGAAGTATAAAAACAAATCTAAAAATGCAATGGGAATTCTTTTTGTGTTTGTCTGCTAGAAATTGTACACAGACTACATTTGACGAGGAGGAATTTCCAAAGCATCAGAAAAATCAGCTCTTTCAAACTGAACACCCCACTAAGGAACTACTGTATCTTCTTAGCTATGAGGAAATGCCACCCGCGTCGGTGAAATGTGCACCCTGCCCTGATGTTTAATGTAGACTCCACTGGCAATCATATGAGAGGGGCAGAAAACAACAGAAACGATAGCTCTAAAATCACAAAAGGTCTTGGCAGACTAGCTACGTAGTTTCAACCATTTCTATAGTATGTAAAGATGAGAGTTTGGAGCACTAAAATTATTCCATGTAGAGAAACTGGATAACAACTGCTTGGGGGTAGCGGCAAAGGTGATGGACTAGGATGGGGGAGACCCAAATTCAAATCTACTGTCAGCCAATATACATTAATCAGGCCTGAACTGTCTGTCATTAACCAGGAAAACAATTATAATAGATAAACGTGGTTGGCACTCACCTGGACAGCGATGTAAGCTACTCCAAGGTAGGCTGCTATGCAGAGAGCCAGGAGGAGGTCGAAGATGGCCGGTTTGACCCTGAAGAACACAAGCCATGTTCTCACATGCAGCAATTAGACACCAGTGTCTCCCTTCCCTCCAAGCTGCTTGTTCACATGGCGGACCTCTCTCTTCCACCACTGCTTCCAGAGCGCCCTCCTCCCCAAAAGACAGCGGCAACTTTTGTTTGATTGTTGTGAGCCACTCAGTTGTTGAGAGATGGGTAGCATAGAAGTTTAATACTTTATGACACTTTTTAAACCGTATTTCCGTGTGTGTGTGTGTGTGTGGGTGGGTGGGTATTTGCATATGCACACATACACCCACATATAGATTCTCTCTAAGCCAAAAGCTGGTTAGCAAAATCTAGAGAAGTACAAAAATGCATTGGCTATAAAGCTAAGCCAAATATTAATTTCCCCCTTTTTCTTGACCTCCAACAACTGAGTGCTATGCTGGCAGAAGTATGGATTATCATATTATTATTATTGGCGGTGGCAGAGTCAGCCAGATGTTTAGACTGGGTTTGGCATTTTTGTCCACCTATCGAGTCCTTCCCAGGGACCTGGGATGGGCAGATGTGGCTGTCTGATGGGGTTAAAGGTGTCGTTGCAGGATGGAAGCTCTTCCAAGTGAAGCTGCCTTTTGTAATTGACTGACGGTGATTTAGTTAATGTTGATGGTCTCCAAGGGGTGCTCCAGATGTTTTGGAATGGCATACAAGGCCCCTATGACTATTGGGACTCTCTTGGTTTTCTTTTGCCACAGTCGTTCTACTTCTGTTCGCAGCTCTTTGTATCTTGTGATTTTCTCCAGTTCTTCCTCTTCTTTTCTCCTGTCTTATCATCATCATCATCATCTTATTCTTAGCATCCACCTCTAGATTTTACCCAGCGATTCTCCACTACGTTCAGGATCAAGACGGGCCACCTATCTCCTGCAGATGTCTGCTCCTTATTCTCTTTCAATAAGAGCCAGCATGGTATAGTGGTTACATGTTGGTACAGGCGCTGGGGAGACCCAGGTTTAAGTCTGCCCTTGGCCTCAGAAATGAATTGGGTATCTCAGCCCAGCCTACCTCACAGGGTTATTGTGTGCAAAACTGAGAGAAGGGCACACTATGTGTGTGACCCTGAGCTCCTGAACAAAAACTGAGAAACAACTCTAACAAACCATCAAATATAAGGTATAAAGGCAAGCCAACACATAGTCTGTTTGGTTTAGGCTTAGTACATTGTGTGAATCCAGCCTGGGTTTGCCCATCACCTCAAAACTAGGAAGAGCCCAAGAGAGTTTGCATCAACCTTGTCCCCACTCCGTCCTTGATCTATAGGTTTTAATTAATATGTCTTTTTTTCATCCCCCAAGTCTTGAAGGAACGGCCCAAGACTGGTCAAGCTCCAGAATAATATTGCTATTGCTTTACACTTACCTATAGGCGTTCATTACTTGCTTCAGCTGGTCATAGAAAACAAACTCAGGATCCCTATGGGTTTGTTTAAAGGGAAGGAAAATAACAAGAAAGACCTTAATGTTTAAAAGAGTTAAAGGCAGAACTGAAAACACAGGGACTACCTTATACCAAGTGAGAACACACACCTAGCCCAGGGGGCATTATCTCTCTTAGAAATTAGGGCTTTTTAAAAACCTGAGATCTTTTTAACTAAAGAGAAACTTGGGGTCAAATGCTTCCAAGGAGTCAAAGCACAGGAAGGAGAGGGTCTTCCTTCTCACTGCTTCCCCAAATGAGAGGGATCTCCTGCATATAATACCAGGGCTATATCATAACCTAAAGTCACTTTGTGTGAGATGGGAGGCCAGACAAATAGGATTAATCAATCAATCAATCAATCAATCACCTACAACTCCTACAAGAAGCTTGGACTTTGCCCAGTTCTGCCTGTCAGAAATTCTCCATCAGCACATAGTGGCCTTTTCCCAACACTACCCAGATCCAACTGGCAGGGATACGCAGATAGATGGTCCGTGACTGACCTACAAGCCTTCCTAAATCCTGGGGTTCATATTAACAGACAAGGGCATCCTGGCCCAAATTTATCAATTCTATCGTGTTGCAGTCCCCCGCCGAGTCCTGCTGGTCTGCCACGTTGCGGCCGAGAGGTATTCCTGGGCGGGATGAGCAAAGAATGCTGGGAGTGTATGGCAAGGGTATGTACGCCCCACGGGGTCACCAAGGTGTGACAGTCATCCCAGCTGTCCAGCTACAGCAAGCAGGCACCTCTGTTGGGCAGAAGTGATAGAGGAAGATGCAGGAGGCAGATGGCCACTTTAGTGCAGTGTTTGTCAACCTTGGCCGCTTGAAGATGGGTGGACTTCAACTCCCAGAATTCCCCA